GAAGTTTAATTCAGAACTTTTAAAAAGTATTATGGAACTCGTAAGGGATTGGTTAGAACCCCGTGGACGAACCAGAAATTTTTCAAAGTCACTTGACACTTAAAAAGTGGTAGGACGTCCATGTCCAAGGATATTCGGCGGACTACGGACGAGTATTAGGTACTGGTGCTCTCGCTACGTCGTAATGAACATTGCTGTGCAGGATTACTTAATTACAAAAAAGTACAATTATTGTAGTCCGACAGTACGCACTTTGGAGGACTACTTCGATATACTAAATGAAATTGACGTAACTTGCGGGCACGGTTAACAGGATTTTTTTTGTATCTTTTGTATCAATTGAAGGATCGATATATGATTATAAGAAAAGCGATAGACTTGTTTGTGTCGCTTTGTCCTTTGTGCGAATTAAAAATGAAAATCGCTAAGAAGTGCGTCGTCACTAAACCAATCATATCATCAGATTTGAATCAACGGTTAAGGACAGGTTAATTATTCGAGTTAATAAGCTGAAGCGGCAAAGAGCAGGGCCACATTGCTCGAAGGACTGATAATCGGTGGAGCAGGGGAATTCTAGAGTGGAGATCACGTACCGGGAGGCGCAGCGTAGGATGGCCCACCGCAAGATGGACAGACGATCTGGTCAAGTCCGCGGGGAAATGCTGGATGCAAGCCGCTTCTAATCGGACAAAGTGGAAATATTTAGGGAGGCCTATGTTCAGCAGTATAAGTCCTATGGCTGATGTGATGATGATGATGGTGATGCATTATTCTAACACAGCCCTGTTTTCCTTAAGAACTATTATTTAGCAAAAATATCAGATCCCTCATCAACACAACTTAAATCATGATGTAAAAAAGTAAGGTTTAACTTACATAGATATTTACAATCTATCACTTTAACGAGCTATGGTTGTAAATATATCTATCAAACAGTCTAAATGTGACCATCGAAGATACTCAAGTAAATAATATGTAAATGAATAAATATCGTTGTTTTTTTCTTAATCATGGTCACCCTAATATGATCACCACGTTGACGTTTAAGCAACGTTCATTTCAAAGTCATATTGCCGGATGTCGTGCCGACAATTTGTATACTGCTTTTCGTCTGTATACGAACGGGTCAATATGTAAGCGTCAGAATCTTACATATTGACTTCGACATATACATGGCGCGCTCCATCACCATGTACATATGTCGAAGTCAATATGTCAAAATCTGCCTTCTACATAATAGCTCGTGTGTTTACAAACGAAAAGCCGTTTGCATATTTCCATCTGACGTATGTATACCGTCGACATTATGTGTACCGCCAAAAAAACGACCTTTTGCCGTATGGCATAATGCCCGGCAATATGTATGAACTAGTACTGAATTCCGCCACGGTGGCGCTGTAATCGCAAAACAATAAATATGCCGTACAGTAAAGTAGTAACAGTGCAGAAGGTGTTAACGGAAATCTTGTAAATAAAATGACTATGTTACCAGTGACAATAAGAGATTAAGGAGAAGTTTAGTTCAGAACTTTTAAAAATATTATGGAACTCGTAAGGGATTGGTTAGAACCCCTTGAAAGAACCAGAAATTTTTCGAGGTTACTTAACACTTATAAAGTGGTAGGACGTCCATGGCCACGGATATTCGGCGGACTAGGGACGAGTATTAGGTACTGGTGCTCTCGCTACGTCGTAATGAACATTGCTGTGCAGGATTACTTAATTACAAAAAAGTACAATTATAGTAGTCCGACAGTACCAGACAGTACGCACTTTGGAGGACTACTTCGATATACTAAATGAAATTGACGAAAGTTGCGGGCACGGTGGACAGGTATTTTTTGTATCTATTTCAATTGAAGGATCGATTTATGATTATAAGAAAAGCGATAGACTTGTTTGTGTCGCTTTGTCCTTTATGCGAATTCAAAATGAAAGTCGCTAAGAAGTGCGTCGTCACTAAACCAATCATATCATCAGATTTGAATCAACGGTTAAGGACAGGTTAATTATTCGAGTTAATAAGCTGAAGCGGCAAAGAGCAGGGCCACATTGCTCGAAGGACTGATAATCGGTGGAGCAGGGGAATTCTCGAGTGGAGATCACGTACCGGGAGGCGCAGCGTAGGATGGCCCACCGCGAGATGGACAGATGATCTGGTCAAGTCCGCGGGGAAATGCTGGATGCAGGCCGCTTATAATCGGACAAAGTGGAAATATTTAGGGAGGCCTATGTTTAGCAGTATAAGTCCTATGGCTGATATGATGATGATGATGATGATGCATTATTCTCACACAGCCCTGTTTTCCTGAAGAACTTTTATTTAGCATAAATATCAGATCACTCATCAACACAACTTAAATAATGGTGTAAAAAAGTAAGGTTTAACTTACATATATATTTACAATCAAAGCACTTTAACGAGCTATGATTGTAAATATATCTATCAAACAGTCTAAATGTGACCGTCGAAGGTACTCAAGTAAATAATAGGTAAATGAATAAATATCGTTGTTTTTTCTTAATCATGGTCACCCTAATATGATCACCAGGTTGACGTTTAAGCAACGTTCATTTCAAAGTCATATTGCCGGATGTCGTGCCGACAATTTGTATACTGCTTTTCGTCTGTATACGAACGGGTCATTATGTAAGCGTCAGAATCTTACATATTGACTTCGACACATATATGACGATAGAGAGCGCCATGTATATTTTTCTTTGCAATAATGTGGTTCTGGACAATTCCTCATTGCCGAATGATATGAAAAAGTGTTTCCTTTTTAAAGGGTCTTTAGAACTGAACAAATTCAACTTAGCTGTCACTGACCTGGTTCAAAATACACTTGTAACTCCTTGTCGTGTACTGACATCCCATTCATAGCGGCACAGACCTTAGCCCCATCGTCGTATGTCGCAAATTTCACCAAATGTCTAACCGTTTTATCATCGTTTTTACCACGTGTGCGGTAAGAGAGCAGGGTTTCCTGAAAAGTAACACTGTTCCTCAAACTTGTATATACAAAATAATTATATTATACAGCTTTTTAAACATTACTTACACAGCCAGTCACATTTTTAATCAATGTTTTTAACTCGTAGTCACCCCATTTTGAGGGTACTTTATCTATAACAACAACTCCGCAATGATCTTCGACCTCAGTCTCCATATTTTCTGGGGAACTATTTATTTCAAATAACGCCCGAAAATCAACAATATCCTCTGCTTTTTCTCCATTTGCATTTCTTGTTATTGATTCATTATAGTTTTCAACTACAGGTTCCTTTTTATGTTGTATAGCGTTAACTGCATCCATATTTTGTAGTGAAAGTTGCGATTGACGTAGTTCTTCTTCAACTTCGTGTACTTCTAGCCTATCCTGTTCTTTGATCAATGGAATCCTAGAATAAATGGAATAAGTCTCAATATAGGAAATACGTACATACGCCATGGGTGGGGCATCTTATTTTGACGCCTATCCTGGCTTAACAACTATCATCTTGGCTTGATAATTTTATCCATCAGTCCATCACAGAATAAGAAGATACCTAATTAAATTACTTACCAACATGGCTGCTCCTTTCTGAATTGCTTGATTTGATCTATCATTTCATTTCTAAACTCGTTACTTTTGACTAGTTTGTATAACCCAGGACACATATCTGAAAGTGGAAGCAGCTATTGCAACATTTAATTGAAATTCCGAATATTTATTGCCCGTGATTCAGGCGTTTACTTAGTCTTTAACCGGTGCAGAGTAGATCTCGAACAAGCTTACTAACCTACAACCAAAACCAGTCTTTGATAAATTCATCTCTTCCATAAATCGCTGATTTTTACTAGAGTAGTACAAAAATCGATCTTTTTGAGAATTCTTCAACACATCCTAGATAGAGCATTTGAAAAAATAAAAATTTGCGTGATTTTAAGGACTACATTGACTAATCAAGTGGGGTACAAAAGTGTGAATCAATACAAAATCGAATTTTCGTGTGCCTTAAGGTGGTTCGTTACGTCATACAAACGAAAAACTGCACTTCAGTCGGGTTACACATGAGCTGTAGAGTTTCTTTTTAAAGAAACTTTATTCTGAATGATGAAGGCACACGTAAATTTGTCGCAAAACTACTTATAGTTAAAAGATAATCAGTATTTTCTGCACAATAAAATTAAACGTATTTATTGCAGCAGTAGCTCCATCTATTTCCGTAAAGTGGCGACTCGCTTTTTACGGGGAAATCTGATGATTTAAAAATTCTTTTTAGTGTTTTGCGACAATCTTATATACCCACGGGACTCCCCATCAAGTTTTTTAAACCGACTCTTGTCTCCTTTACATACATAACTCCATTGAACTTTTGTATGGAAAACGGAACGCCTTAAGTCACCGCTTGTCTATAATGGATGGGAGCTAGTATAGGAGGAATAGAACCTTTTAATGGGTAACACCAGGTGCCGCTGAATACAAGAGACACCATCATTATTAAAAACTTACCCAAATCTACACAAACTTTTATGTCGCTTTTAAAACAGTGTAGCCCTTGCATGTCATATAAAAGTTGTCTACAATCTTCAATATTCAAAAACCTTATCACGCAGCCTACAACTTTTCTTGCCTTCTTCTTTTCCATTATCATTTCAACATAGTAAGTAGGATTATTTACATTCTGTAAAAAATAAATATTTAATTGAACATTATCCACTGTACTAATACTTTAACTGTTCGCAAAACCGTGTTTTCAAACATATGGTGAATTTTTCTCCTGACATGCAAGCTAAAATGCGGTTTTATTGAGTGTCATCGAAGGAAATAAATACCGACTAGGAGGAACAGCATAAACGTGTATTGGGATTGTAATGCACTCACAGTACTATATTATTCTCACAAGTGAAAATAAGAAATAGAAAAAATGACATACTTAGATCAATACTTAGAACAATGGATCGTCGCTTAGAGACGAGCATCAAGAGATAGAAAATTTGGCATTCATCAACCGGTGCATCGATAGCTCAGTGGCAGAGCGGTGGGGCGTTTACCCATGCGGCCGGGGTTCGATTCCCGGTCGATGTATGACAATTTCTTATTTTCACTTGTGAGCATAAACGTGCCCCAGGATTGTAAGTACATAACTAGCAAGGCCACCCGGAATACTTACAAACTTCGACATAAGTCGCATCAGTGTGACTACATGGTATATTTCAAACCACTTTGGTAAACAATGTAAAATTATTCCCCTGCAAAAGTTATGTGCTTGTCGGGCTATTGCATCGCGCAGTTCCGGGGTTTTCTTAAACATGTGCGTTCTTTCTTTAAATAATTTCTGGATCTGTTGCAATGTCGATCCTGGTTTGAAGTCAATTCCGAACTCCTTGCAAATGAGAGCAACAGTTTTTTTGTGTAACGGTATCCTTCTAGCTTCAACATCAGCAAGCGCCAGCTGCTTATTTTTCGCAGTCTTTTTATTGTTCGTTGCAATTTCAGGTTTACTAAACTCAAAATTGGTATTTTTGATCTCAACTATGGGTGCGGGTGTCTTATAAAATACTACTTCACCTTTGCACTCAACTGCTTCCATATTGATACAAAACCAATACCAAACCAATCAAATTTTTTACGGCTTTTCGTATCACATGTTAAGTTTCAAGTTCAAAATTTCCTCAACAAGAAAAATCTCGGAATGAGAAAAATCCATAGACATAGAAACGATAGACGAACATAGTGTGCAAAAGAGAAGAAAATGATTTATGGAAACTCAGTAAGATAGAAAAGAATAGCGAACCTTATGTCACTGTAACCTGTTTTGTATGACAGATCGTCCCAATTCAACCCGCTGGTTTTTACCTGTACAATATTTTGGTGTTTTTTTCAGAAATCCTGATTTATTTTTATAATTTGTTGAGTGTGCAACGATGGTTATGTATTCAGGATGCGAATTTGGTGCGAATCTTCACACTTACGGGGAAAACTGTACATTTCACAGGTAAATTCTCAGAAAGTCGTCACTGGGATTACACGTGATTTTTTTGTTTAAATGTGCCTTTTTTGTAAGTAAAATAATAAAATACGCAATTCCTTATATTTCCTTGCGTATTTTCGATATGTAAAAGCGTATTAGTTAGTAATTTTCATAATATTTGGGGATAAATTAATTTCGCATTTAGGCCAGGGATTGACTGCAATTTATCGACTAAGTTATCGATAGTTACCTAGAGGTACCTTACATACTTTGAATGATATAACAACAAAAAATATGCAAACTTTAAAGATTCGCTAAATAGTTACTTGAACAATTCAGACATACATATTTTTTTACAAATACATATAACATTATTTTCAACTACATCCAACAGATACACTTTAGATCCAGTTATTAGAGATTAACTCGGTGACTCATACGAAATTTTTATTAATATTATTTTCAGGGTCGTATTAATGAGAGATTCGACGTGAAATGTGAGAGACCGCAACGCTCGAAACCGTTTCCATATAAAATATATGAAACAGAAGAGACGCCGGCATCGATGACCACCTTGTTGTCTGACAGATGTCATTCTATTTCTCGTTTCGCACGTCTTATTTGTGAAGATAGCGCCTAGTGACCAGGATTCTTACGAACAACCTTCTCAGCAAATTCTATTAATAAACCTACGTAGGAAATACGCTGACTGCAAAAAAGGAAATGACCCGCCGCAGCAAAGAAAGCATTATGTCAACATTTCAATTGAACAAATAAATAAAGTTGAAATCTTCATATCATTTTTTATTTGAAATTATCGATAACCCTCCAAATGGAATAATGTACATCACTAGCTGAGGTAAGCGCGCCAAAACCAAAATTGGTCACGCGAGATCGAGCTGTCAGTTGGTCTATAAACGCTAGTTTATATATATAAGTCTATGGAAAAATCGATACCTTCTCAGTTCTGTTCTTTTTTTTGACTGATACACTGATTGACAAACAATGATATTATATGTTGACAAAGGATTGACATTGCAGTTTGTTTTTCTGTAAAATAAAAGGTTGATAAAATGCAGTACAAAGTTCACAATCGATCGACGTTAGAGCTACGACGACGGGACGGAAAATCCGCGTTACTGGTCTCCGTAATCTGAGGTACTATAGGTAGGATATACTGCAACAAGATCTCTTCACAAAATCGTATTAGGTATCCGCAAGAGAACGCTGCACCGCCGGAAGTCAGTGTCCAACAAAGTTAGACGTCGCGTCCTCATTTACTTCCGGCATACTTCCGGGAAGGGGAAGTAGAGTCAGGCAAGCTATTCTATCAATCTTATCGGGAAATACCTGAAATAACGCGATAAAAAAGACAGAAGTGAATCTCCCGTACTGCGACTTATTAGAGAGATCAGCGGAAAGCATCATTTTCTTGGGCAGTCCCACTTTTATTTATTTTCTTATGCCACCCGTGTTTTGTACCAGTGTTCCAAGGAAAAACCTCTTAAGGGGGATCGTTACGTCATACAAACTAAAATCTGAACTTCAACCGAGTTACACATGAGCTAAACAACAATTTTATCAAAAAATCTTTATGTGAGATGAGGAAGGCACACGTAAATATGTCGCAAAACTGCTTAACGTAAAAAAAAATCAAGTATTTTCTCCACAAAAAAATGAAACGTGTTTATTGCAGCAGTAGCTCCATCTATGTTCATTAAGTGGCGACACGGTTTTTACAGAGAAATCTGATGGTTAAAAAATTATTTGTTTTATTTTGCGACAATGTTATAAAAGCACGGGACTTCCCATCAAGTTTTTTAATCATAATTTTGTCTCATTTAAAGACGTAACTCCATTTAAATTTTGTATGGAAAACGATCCACCTTAAGAAGATGAATTCCGATTGAACAGATTAAGCTGACCAATTTTTCCCCACAGAAGCATATGGATGCCCTAAAATGGCATATAGGTCAAAAAAGGTCAAAACATAAAACAATACCTTTAATAGAAAAATTGGTCACCTTATTTGTTTTCATGGGAGATCCAGTTTTGACCTAGTCCTTGATGAAAGCTGTTTAATTTGTCTCGTCGAGCTTAGCATTTTCGGGTTAATCGGTCGTTCGATAGCTCCCTGTATATTTTTATAAAACCCTGTGCAAGATCTTAAATGAAACTTGCAGTAACTTGGGCAAATTCCCGTAAAGTTGTTGCCTTATTTCGGAATTCTTTGAGTTTACAAACTCGCCGTTCTGAAGAGTTATGTGAATAATTGTAGACTTGAGAGGTGGCGCTGTGTCTCTTTAATTATGCACGCTTTTAAGAGCTGGTATAGTTGCCAGATGAGAAGTTTTAAACTTTGTGACATTAGGCTTAAGACACTATATACATAACACTTTTGCAACTGAATCTTCTTAAGAGAATAAGAAATAGTAAGAAACTAAACAGTAAGCTTTACACTCTTATATAAATTCAGCTTTACTCTTTCGAAAGCAATATCATATTTATAAGTAATAATAATATCTACAACATTAGATTATATGGTATTTAAAAGGCCTCTGTGCTGTGTGGTGCTGTTGACTTTGACTCCACGCAAGGCTCAAAAAGACGGATCCTTTTGAGCCCGTGGTTCTCAAAGATACCTATAAAGAATCGACCACCTCGATAAAATTAAGTTGAACTAGTAAAGCAACGCTTCAAGCATCCATTTAATCCATTTGTTATAAGACCGACGTTTTATTTGGTAAGTTAGTTTTATTGGATACGAAATAAAGCATAATGTAGCGTCTTGAACGTCTAAAACGAAAAATGCACCCACAAGATAGAAACGATAGGCTAGTGATATAGAAGGAAGTAACTGATTATTATTTTAACCATTTAATAAAATGACACCTAAAAATAGTACTCAGACTAATATGATCCATGTATAAGTTACTTTTATTCGAGAGGAGTTTTGCTTTTTATTTCTGTGAGAAACTAAAAATACACCCTTGAGTTAGGAACGGCAGACTCGAGATACAGAAAGAAGTAACTGGTTGTTATTTTAACTCGTCTAATAAAATTTCAATGATACCTAAAACTAGTACTCAAACAATATGATCCATTTGTAAGAAGACCAAGTCAGTTTTATTCGAGAGTAGAGTCTTGCTTATTATTTCTGTGAGAAACGAAAAATACACCCTCGAGTTAGGAACGGCAGACTCGAGATACAAAAGGAAGTAACTGGTTGTTATTTCTGTGCAGTGCTCGCGACCGGTACGGACTCCACTCAGGCCACGCTTGCAGAAACCTCGCCTACTAAACTTCCAAGTACGTCTGTCTATTTATTCTTAAATAACCAAGCTACAATAAGATCTCTCCAGGAAACTTTTTATTATCCGGCGCGCGAAGTTACCGGTCGGAAGGAATTTGTTTGATTTGGCAGCTGTGCCCTGCGCCCCTCGTTATGTGGAGTTCTCTGGAGCCGAAAAATTACTCGGACGAAATTGGAGTTGGGATAAAGGAAACCAAACTTTTACGACAAAAAGCATTCCGCATTTTCTATCTGAGTTACCGTCGATGAGAGATCTTATTTTAGTAACTTTTTTCATGCATTACCCAGCATTAACCATCCCAAAACAGCACTATACGTTATCAGCACCCCCCACCCTTCGACAAACCAAATATTGTCCCAAAGAGTCCGCCCTTACATAAAATTCGATTATTTCGATTTGGCCACATGCATTGGGATGGAAAATAAACAGGGTCGTATGAGAATATTAAATTTAATGCGAACACAGCGTGTGGACGATCGGAAAATGGAATTTCGTATTGTTTGGCGTTTTTCCAACGTAACAGTCGACACCCCAGCACTGCGAAGATCATATCACGACATTTCATTTCAATAACCGTTACTTTCAGTTATTTTTCACGTCCCCTTTTAAAATGTCCGTTTATAGTACTTTTGTGTAAAACCGCACGAAACTTAAATATGATTGTGTACCTTTTGAACGCATGTTCATTCATCTGATGATGTTTTAAGGTGGTTCGTTACGTCATACAAACGAAAAACTGCACTTCAGTCGGGTTACACATGAGCTGTAGAGTTTCTTTTTAAAGAAACTTTATTCTGAAT